CAGCCAAAATATAGTATTACGACAGATGTTCTCCAGCTGGACAGGCTTGCCTAAGAGGATACGGAAAGTGTTTTGAACTGGGGATGTTAAATTTGGTTTTACCCTTCCAAAGACACTGCTGTGCGACGATTGGAGCGAGTTTATGAGGAATATTTTATACAGTGATTCAAAGAAATGTTTTGCATATACTGTACTGTATATGTTATTGATGTATTGTTGAATGTCACTTATATTATAAAGTGCCAATGGTTGGAATATTTATTCATTGATATTTTAAACACAGATTAAGTGTTATATGCTCTTTCCTTGTTTACGTTTTCCTTGTAGCCAAATGTTGTTGAAGCTGGCAAGCTGCAAACTGACATAGGAGTATATAACTGACATATATGCATCTTAGTTTGCTTCCAGTAAAATGTAAACAAGAACTTAAGAATTCTATATGAGATAAGAAATATTACGTTTAAAATCATGACTGGCAAATTAGCATGTGCAATTGATGCTTCCTAATAATAGTATGTACTCCAGCAGTGGAGAAGGAAGGGGCACGGGAGGCACGTGCCCCCCCCCCCAATTTTTTCAAATGACTAAAAGTGCCCTTTTTTTATGAAAAGTGCCCTTTTTTGTGACGAAAAGTGCCCTATTTGTACAAGCTAATGTCGTTGTAAATACTAAATTAACACAATAGGTGCCCTTTTTGTTTGGAAATTTCCAAGCTTTTTAAAAAAATTAGGTCAAAAACATCAATTTCGGCGCCAACATTTCCGGGAAAAATTTTTTAGGTGCCCTTTTCAAAACCGTAAAGTGCCCCTAGAAGCTGGTGCCCCCCCAAACGTTTGATGCTTCCTATGCCCCTGTACTCCAGTAAAGCTTGCTTGCTTCAATTCATGCTGTTACCATCTACACATTATCAGGGTGGAGAGTTGATTTGAATTTTTTGTCCCAGGGGATAAAGGTAGGGAATAGATTTTCCGTAACAAAAGGGGCAAGGTGCCCAACCAGTTAGAAGATGACATGTACTTTAAGTGACCATCATTATATCCTAGGGTGGGGTGGGAGATTCTTGTGTCAAAATGTCACGAGACCCCTTTTTAATCTCTTAATTTAATAATGGAGACCCCTCCTAAATATTTAAGACTATATAACATGATGCAATTCTAATCTTCATTCATGTGAATGCCTGACTATGAAGAAAATAAATTTTGCAATGCAGGGATGGATCCAGCATGATCTGGTAGGGGGGGGTGTGCTCTACCAGCTCTGGTGCCGAGTTGTGTTGGTCATGTGTGCCGCCCACCCATCAGCTTGCTTCACCACTGCAAAGTCTTGCTTTACTACTGTATTTGACTTGTAATTGTTGTTCACAGATCGCTTATCATCATGTTATTACTCAAATTATTGTATCTCATTTTGCCTGTAATAATTTTTTGCTTTATCATGAAAAATAGCACCCTCTCTGGGCAGGGCTAGGGGGGGGGGGTGCACCCCCCTCCAGTAAATCCATCCATTTTGCAACATACACTATAAGAGCTAGAATGATTGCTTCCTTTGGATGATTTGTCTTAGAATTATATTACCTAAATAGTATATTACAACAATTCTTCCTCTTCTGAAACCAGTTACTATTCTGTTTTTACAACACTCACCCCCCCCCAAAAAAAAAACTAAACAAATCAAGGACCCCTCCAAGGCAATTTTGCAGCAAAATAGATTTAATTTGATGGTAACTGTTCTGAGAATATATTAACTCATTGAGTGGCAGCATTCTGCTTAGACTTGCCAAAAGTCGACCTCGAACGAAACGCAAGCAGCGAGTGTGAGCAGACATTTTGTTCGAGGTTGACTTGCGGCAAGTCTACCTTCTGCCCTTGAGTAAAATTGTCTGGCACCAGACGGGTAATATACTAAAGTAGGGCACATTGCCACTATATAAAGGGTTAAACAAATTTAAAAATTTTTTGCAATGGTCTATATTCAAAAAGCTCTATTTGTAAATATTAATTGACTTTTATACCTACTTATACTTATAGCTACCTTGCCCCAGTCACTTCAAGTGAATTCTACGGGAGGAGGGGGACATTGAAAGTCCCTGGGTTTACTTCAGTTGGTAAAAGCAAGAATTGAACCATGCATTACATGTATATGGAGAGCAGTTTTAAATATATTTTATCATGCAAATACCTTGATAATTGTTCTTAAACGTCTTTGGCTTAGAATGGGTACACCCTCCAAAGGTGTTTATTTACAGGGTCCAAAGGTGTAAATATACACTGTCCAAGGTGTTAATATAAACAACAAAAACAATGTATATAATTAAATTTTATTAAATAAAATGTGGAATATTTTACAAATTGCATTACCATCCCAAGGTGTACATAATTTATCAATATAATTAGGACTTTGAAGCTGTTCACATGAGTTTGACTCTGACCCAGCACCCTTGGCTAGCTCCCCTTGCCCGATCACAAGTAGAAAACCTCCAACCTCCTCTGACAAATCAGTCCAGATCTGCCCAAGAGGCAGGATTTTCTGGAATATTATTAGCAGTGAAATTGTTGCATATTTTCAAGCATGCATTGTAACCTGATTTTAAAGCCTGTTTGAACATCAGACATTGTGGCAATGGCAAGATGGTCCAGCCATATGAATACAATCTTAAAATATCATAAAAACAATGCAATTTAAGGCCATGCAGACAGCCCAACTCCTGCGAACAGCCCTTTATTACACATTCGAAGCATCTCTTGAGGCACCATTGCACAACTTTGTCTGCAACAATGCAAATACAACAAATGCAAATACAATCAAGCTGGAAACGGATTTTATCAGTATTTTGATCCCCGAGCCGGCGGCGGGAAGGTACTAATTCCCCCCGGCTATTTACACCTGGGAAAACGAAAGCATTAGGGAAGTCTAAAGTTCATCAAATATCGCGGGCGTGGGTCACTGTGCGTGTTTCGGTGGGTGGTCATCCTTACCACAAAGTATACAGAGGCGGAACTCGCGGCGATTCCTTTGTTCTTTGTGTCCCTATGCAACGTCATTTCCACGCGCCACGCAAATTGCTCTGGCAAGTGTCATTCGTCGTTGTCGCAGAATTCGCTGGCTTCGTTCAACAAATATTTCTGCACGGCTGGTTCAACAATCAATCTTCGTTTTACAAGGTTTATTTCACACAAATACTACACGTTAACTACAACAATCTGGTCTTTTACTTTACGACCTCTAACCATTCTCACTAAATTAGCGTTCGTCACAACATTTTATAACTTCGGTCCGGAAACCGTACCTACATATTTTCATCATGCAATACATACAATAATAATAATAATAATAATAATGGTATTTTAATAACACATCATCGCATGAAAATGAATTACAATGTGTTTTACAATTGATTTGAATGGGAATTACAATACTAAAAGTAACTATATTACAATATATCATTAGATTATTAAATAAGAACTTATAACTAAGAACAATTATTTGTTTAAAACACTAATCATGCTACGGAAAAAACTATTACCAAATCTATCAGTTCTACATTTAAAAGAAGCGAATTGTTTAAAATTCCTTAAATTATACACATGTTCGTTCTCACTGGTGAGAGTTAGATGGGAAGAAAGACGACTGCCCAATGCAATATTTTTCATCGTCTTTTCGCAAAGTTCACCTCGACGTATATCCAGCCTAGGACACTGCAACATTTCCTGCGCTTCACCGTAGGATCGACCTGGCAGTATAATCCTCAGTGCACGTTTTTGAATTTTTTCGACTTGTTCGGACAGATACATAGGTAGACCACAATGCCATACTGTACAACAATATTCTAATGTAGATCTAATCAATGCATAATAAATTGTGATAAGGTCGTGCGGTGGAATCCCTCTCCGTCGTATGACACGTAGGATATGCAGTCCTTTGGATGCTTTGGTAACAATCATCGAAATATGTTCGTTCTACTTAAGGTCATCCTGGATAATCAATCCAAGAACCTTGTGCGACGATACACATTCAAAGATCTGGTCTTCAACACACAAGTGTGGTAGTTCAGGTTTGTTCCGAAAGAAACAAATTTGCATCTCTTTGCATTTCTTTGCGTTCAATTTCATCAGGTTATTAGATGCCCATGTAGCTATAGAAGTTAAATCGGACTGGATTACAGACGGTTCCCCATTCCTTAATAATCCCTCAGAGATAGTAACATCATCAACGAATTTCCAATTGCCAGACCTCCCCGAACCGCATTGTAAATCATTGACCATAATTAAGAACAGGATCGGACCCAGCTTCGTACCTTGGGGGACACCGGCTGTAACAGGAAGCCAACAAGAAACAGCTTCCGCAAGTTTGACCCGCTGTCTTCGCCCTGATAGAAAGTTTACGATCCATGGTATTAACGATCGCCTAACGCCAATATCAACAAGTTTTTGGATAAGAATGTTATGGCCAATACGATCGAAGGCCTTTGAAAAATCCAAAAAGCATATGCGAAGAAAATGACCAGTTGAATCTAAATGAGAAAGCCAACAATGCAACATGTCGAGCAAGCAATAGGTCGTGGATGAACCCTTTAAAGAACCGAACTGTTGTGCGTCAATATTATTCCTAACGTCAGAGATCATCCATCTAACGACAAAATCTTCGAGAACTTTAGAAAGGCATGGCGTTAGTGACATGGGTCTTGTGTCACCCTCGTCAGTTGGTTGTTTAACTTTTGGAATGGGAGTAATATGTGAGTCTTTCCATATATTTGGAACAATCCCGGATGCAAGTGACATATTGAAGATTTTCGCAACTGGTTCAGCGAAAAGGTGCGCAAATTAGCATACTTTTCCTTGAATTCAGCTTATCTATAACGAACTTACAATTATCTTTGACATACATGCGTCACACAACTAATTGAAATAAGAATAAGTGTTATTAGTATAATTTTGCAAGTTTCAACATTTTTACAGCACATATATATTATTATAAAATTAAAGTTATAAATCCGACAATCTCCCCCCCCCCCTTGACTCACCTACGAGTCAAGCATCGCCTTTGTTTTCCACCTTGCGTCTATTGAAGCACTCCTTTTCTGTCGCCTCTCTGTACCTTCGACCTTTCCCTTAACCACATCCAAATTCACCTCACCAACTTCCTTGATTTCATCCCCTTTCTTAACCTCAACCGGGTACAAATGCTGACAAGGCCTGCTTAAGAGTTGCCTTCGACCATTTGTCATCACATACACCTTAGCACCACGTACAACTTTATCCTTCCAATAAATCAACTCATGCACAACACCTGTCTTCCACTCCCCCCCTTTTCTTTCCCTGCGCAAACACAATGACCACATCTCCAGGCTTCACAATCACAGATCCTTTCGCAGACACGCCAACCTTGTGGAACTCTCTTAGGTTTGTAAGATATTCCCGTTTCCACCTGTTCCAGAAGTGCTCCAAAATGGTACTCAAATATTTGAAGCGTACAATGCTATTGCCCTTGGTAGAATCCTGTCCTAACTCCCTAACATCTACCTCAGTACTATCTGGTAATGTAGTAATTTGTCTACCGTAAACTAAATGTGAAGGTGTAAGCACCTCACTGCTTACCTCGTCATATTCGTATGTCAGCGGTCTCGAGTTAGATTAGCTTCGACTTCAACCTGAACTGTCCTCAATTCATCAAACGTGAGCCTTGAATTTCCTAAAACTTTCCTTAAAGAAACTTTAACAAGACCTATCAGTCTTTCAAAAACCCTCCCCACCATGGGGCCCTTTCCAAATTAAATCTCCAATCTACTCCCTTATTGGTTAAACAATTCTTAACTTCTTCGCTTCCAAATAACTCGCGCAGTGCTTTCTTTGCAGCTTGAAAGGTTTTAGCATTGTCCGAAATCATTATTTTTGGTGTCCCTCTTCTCCCTACAAACCTTCTAAAACAACGTAGAAATGTAGCCGCTTTAAAATCTTGCACTAACTCAAGGTGCACTGCTCGGGTCACGCAACAAGTAAATAGCGCGATGTAAACCTTACTCGTGCCACTCTTTGTTTTAGCAAACAAAGGTCCTGCAAAATCTACGCCTGAGTTTTCAAATGATGCTGCTCGATTGACGCGAAATTCTGGTAACGCCGCTTGCTGTGGCTTTGCACATGCCTTGCTATTCCATCGTTTACATATTAGACATGTATTTATTGCTCGTTTCACCTCTTGTCTGCCCTTTGCTATCCAATACTTTGACCTGAACTGAGCTAACGTTGACCTAACTCCACTATGCATAACTGACTCGCGACACTGTGCTATGACTAACTCTGTGAACTTATGCTTTCTGGGCAGAACTATCGGCTCTCCAACCTCGTACCCAGGCTCTTACCTTCGCACGCCCCAAGCTGCGGAAAGACCCTGGTGCCGGCTGCTCACGTGGCTCCCAGGATATTAAATTACTAAGGGAGGGATGGACAAATCTAAATTACAATGCTTCCACTTTGCAATAGTAAAATTCGTTGGCAAGGAGCGGACGTATTGGTTTGAATTGCAAAAAGTGTAATTTGAGAGCACTTTATATCGCAATTTGTCATTGTATAATTTGTATTGAATGTTTCGAGGAATACTTCTTGTCAAATTGACAATTATGCGCGCGTTTGTGTTCTTTTTGTCATTCACATGCTGCCAGACCATAGAAGCAAAGTTGATAATTTCAACGGAAACTCGAACGAAGATGCTCGAGGATGCTCGAGTTTCATTGCATTTCTTGCTTGTTTGGATTTCGTTGTTCTAAATAGCGCATTTCATAACAACATACTGTACTGAAGCCGAACCAACTAAGCAAGTTCTTTGTTTGGAAAGTATTTATTTATTTATTCAATTTCGCCAGGTTAAATTACACGATTGATAACATTGTGTTCAAACTTCGACAAGAGTTGCAATTTAAACATACAGATCTCCGTGTTCTTGGGTCCTGCATCAAAACAACTGTGCAGGGCTTTCAAATAATACTGTCGTAAAGCACACGAGCAAATTTTATTTTGACAAATTTTATTTGATCAAATGCATTTGATCAAAAGCTAGCATGCTAGCTTTTGTTCAAATTAAATGCATTTGTCACAATACATTTGTCACAAATTTATCATCTACACGAGCAAAATATCTTTGACATTCAATTTTCCCGTGTAAACGGGCCTTAACAAACTCTTAAAGGTACTTAAACATATATTATTTATTCGACAAAAGATGTTATTTATAATTTGTATCCTGCCAACGCTTTCAATGGAAAGTCTCTAATTTTCATCTGACCCATTGTTGATGTTTGCAAGGGATCATATTTAATAAACAAGTCGATTTTCTTTCTCCATGGAAATCATTTGAGATATCTACTCGGGACGGTTCGTGTATAGTTATAGTTGTGTCTCCCTTGAATTCACTGATACAAGATCAAATATCTCGACTGAAATCAAGTGGCCTTCGCGCGTCTGCCATTCTATAAATATTCGAAAAAAATATTCCATGGAGTAATCACAAAAGGGGGTACATTTGGGGTTTAAATGGGGATTACTAACATACGTATACAGATGACTATATTATTAATTGCGGTAAAGTATATTGGTAGATGATATTCATAAACAATTGAATTACTTCTGTTGACATGGGTAAAGGTGTAGCAGATCTAGTTTCATCACTCGAGGAGGACACATTGACAAAGTCAGTGTAAAAGCCAAACTGCGCCTTCGACTTTCAACAGCAACATTTGCCGAAGATCTGGCAACGGATAGAAAAACTTCAGGGCATCGCTTGGATCGCGAATCTTTTACTAATGATTTCTGTGTTTCGGAAATTACATTCTTGGACGTCGTTCACAAGGACGGCACTCGATCGGCAGATCAAATAAGGAAAATCATCAACATGCGGCAGTCTCTGGCCATGAATCAACTCCGTGTTATTCAAAATTCTTTAATTTGTTTTGTTGAAGAGATTCTTACAATGTATCTGATCTTGTACACCATTATACAATCGACAACGAGAACTATTTTCAGTTGATTCAGGAGATCTTTTTGTTAAATTTCTTTGGCGTGCTTTTGCTAAGCCGATATAGTGACAGTGAAATATGAGATATTTGTAATCCTTGAGAGTAATATGACACTCTTTCGGCTGCAACACATGATTAATCTGTTGTTTTAACATTTCGTCAAGAAAAAATCTTTTATTATTGTCTCGTACAGCTAGAATTTTACTATTTTACAAATTCAGAAACAATTTCAATACGTAGAAATCATTTCTACCACCCCTCCCTGAATAGAAATTTATTTTAGCACCCAAAATCTGGGAGCCACGTGACCAGCCGGCACCAGGGTTTTCCGCAGCTTGGGGCGTGCGAAGGTAAGAGCCTGGGTACGAGGTTGTCGGCTCTCTTGCTTCGGTATCTAACTCAGAACTGCCTAATCGTCCTGTACAGTGAAGTACCTCGTGTTTTTCTACCAAACCATACTGTCTCTCCAACTGCTTATACCCTTGCTGATCATTTAAAACTAGCTGCGTTGCCTTAACCCATGCTAACTCTGCACTTTTCAATTCACTCGCTTCCAACGCTCCACTAACTCCCTCTTTGCCTAACTTTTTTCGCTTTAAATTGCTTATAAATCGCTTCACCCATGCTGTCACTCTCAGCAGCCTTTTGAGACAACTGAACCTTTCTAAACTGATCAAATTGCAAATGCCAAACAATGAATCTGTATTGATCAACAAATTGACACTAAAAGATTTCTTCTGTTCCACTTTACTTTCTAAAGTTGGAACTGCTGTTACCAAACTCGGCCAGTCTGTAGGATTACCCTTCAGCCATGACGGCCCTGACCACCAAAGATCATTTTTAAGTTCTGTTATTAAAACCCCTCTCGACCCTAAATCTGCGAGATTATCTATACCTGAGCAATGGCCCCAGTCTCTCTTCGAACTTATTCTCAAAGTCTCGTCCACTCTGTGTTGAACGAACTGCTTCCAGCTACCTGTATTACTTATCCAACACAATACAGTCTTACTGTCAGTCCAGTATCTCACGCCTTCAAACTTGTATTCTACTTCTAGCGCTTGTCCAACTGCATCCATATTAATTGCGCTAAAATCCTAGCTGCCATTAACTCTAGTCTGGGTATACTAAGCTCTTTAATCGGAGACACTCTAGTCTTGCTGGCTACTAACTTAACCTGTGCCTTGTCGTTCACTATGGTTACAACATAAATAACCGCACAATATGCACGTTTTGATGCATCACCAAACCCATGTAACCAATACTTTGCTCCGCTTGACTGCCCTAAACTATTGTCTGATACGCTCGCATATCTCTCAACTGTCACCCATTTTGCCTCACTAAAATACTTCAACCATTTCTCCCATCTCTCTCTCCAGCTTTTGGTCAATACATCGTCCCAATCTAGACTACTAATACATATATCCTGAAAAAGAATTTTAGCTTTAGCAACAGTCGGGCTCAAAAGTCCTAGGGGATCAAATATACAAGCTAGAAGACTCAAAACATTTCGCTTAGTAGGCTCTAAATTCTGCGCTTTTTTAGTCAAGTGGTACTATAAGTTGTATAGTCCCATATGTCTGTGTCAAATGCTACTATAGACTTGCTTCTTTGTATATATTGTAAATACTGTAGGTTATCTAATTTTTAGAGGGCCATTTGGTAGAATACCTTCGCAGGTAAAAATGTTAATTTACCCTCATCAAATAAAGTTTATTATTATTATTATTATTATTATAGTGGTCAAAGTCAAATCTAATTAAGTCGCGCATGCAATCCCATTCCAATCCAAGCACCTTGCCAAACTGACCTCCTGCCTGGCACGCAAGCATTTCCTTCGCCTATGTTTGCTCTTCTGCCTCTTCTACATGTTTGTCTAAATCAGTGGCGCTTTCTTGTATTTGCGTCCTTAATTCACTATCATTAGTGCGCCATTTACGCAACTTAAAATCACCTTCGTTCATGCGCTCCCTAGCCTTTGTATATAACAAATACGCACTTTCTGTGTTAGCTCCGCCGGTAGCTAAGTCGTCGACATAAAAACTTTTCAATAGTTTATCGGCAAAATCCTTATCATACACTGCGTACTTACTAATATGCTGCCATAACGTTGCATTGAGCAAGAACGGTGACGAGTTCACACCAAACACGACCCTACCGAAACGATAAACGGCAAGATTTAAGTTACTGCGCAGCACGTCATCTACCAATAAAAACCTTAGACTATCGCGATCCTTTTCGTGAACTTCAATATTCAAAAACGCTTTTTCGATGTCCGCTACGAGCGCTACCCTTTGTTCTCGAAATCTAAGCAAAATATCGAAAAGAAGTGGATTGAGTGAGGGTCCAGCATTCAAAAAATCATTCAATGAAACACCAGACTTTTGCGACTTAGCACTAGCGTCATAAACAATTCTGACTTTCGCCGTTGTTGCGTCTTTACGCACAACAGCTTGATGTGGTATATAATGTACTTTTGACTTGGAATTAATTACTTTATTCGGGCTTACCTTTTCAATAACACCTGCTTCTTCTTGCGCTTTTATGATGGAGTCATACTCACCTAATAATACTGGATCCTTGTTCAGGCGCTTTATCTGTCCTTTCATACGCTTAAGACTAAATTCATAGTTAGTGGGCAAGGGATCCTGGCTTTCTTTCCAGGGTAGGCCAACTGAATAACGTGTACCACTAAACTTTAAATCACTAATCACTGATTCATGCACATCACTATTCTGATCTTTTATCCCTATGCTCTCTAAATCCCAAAATTTAGTAATATCTACCAAAGGGTTTCGCACTTCGCTAGAAACAAGATTTACCTGAGCAGTAACTGGTTCATCTACATCAAACCCACCGATCGGCCCAGAAACCACCCAACCAAGAACAGTATCAATCGCAACAGGTTCGCCGGGCTTACCGCGTCTTACACAATCCCTTTGCAACAACCACAAATAATCTGCACCCACAAGAACATCAACTTCTAAGTCTTCACTCGACTTACAAACATCAGACAACCAAAGATCCTTCAAATGCGCATAATTTTCTCTCACAACCTCCAAATGTTGATTCCTAATCACCGATATTTCTGGCACAACGTAAGTGTCAACAGACACAACTTGGCTCCCAAACAAAGACCTCAATTCTAACCGCACAACATTTCTCAACTCAGAATCCAAAGCCCTTTGCCCAAACGTCCCAATGCTCAAGTTTTCCACACGCACAACCTCGCAACCAAGAGCTTTCGCAACCTTAACAGTAACAAGCGTCCTCTGACTCCCCGAGTCCAACAACACTCTCACACGACCGCTTTTCTTGCCAACAAACATTGCTTGAGCCGTCTGCAACACAACTTTTGAACAAGACAAAGAAACTATACTATTTTTTGGACTTACAATTAACGTGGTGCATACCTCCCTTTCCCCTCCATCTGCCTCAGGTCCCTTGGGCTTACTTTTATGTACCTTACCCTGATCACACAAAGCAGTGTGATGCTCCACTTTACAAGTATTACAATTAACTTTAACATTACAATTACGTGGCAAATGGGCTCTTCTCAAACAGTTAAAATAACGAGAGTACTTTACTAAAAGTTCCTTATGTTTCTACTTACTGTTCATTCGATTGCACTCTTCATGGCGATGCATACCCAAACAGAAAGCGCAGGCTTCTACTCTTGACTTTGTGTGTAAAGCTTGGGCCGAGGACGGACTTCGTTTCCAGCTTGAGCGTTCGACAAACTCTCGACTACCCTTGCGCTCTGGCTCGCGATGTTCTTCCCGCAATTCAATCTCCCTTTTCAAAGGCTCTAGTAAATTCTCTACATCCCACTCATGGAAGTCCTTTTCCCTTGTGATGATTAACCGCACAGACTCGGGTAAACAATCCAATATATGAGGCACAACGATCGACGAATACGTATTTTTCTCGATACCCAGCGCCTCTAAACCCCTGTAGTGTGTCTCAACACGATCACATAAACGTCGCAGTAACACCAGATCTTTCTCATCTTTCACACGCTCGGCTTTCATCAACTGCTGCATATGTGCACGTTGCACGGCTGACTTTTTCCCGTAACGTTCCTTTAAAATATCAACAGCCGACTTGTAATTCGCCGCAATCAACGAATTTTCGTTGATTGCGGCGAATTACAAGTCGGCTGTTGATATTTTAAAGGAACGTTACGTGAAAAAGTCAGCCGTGCAACGTGCACATATGCAGCAGTTGATGAAAGCCGAGCGTGTGAAAGATGAGAAAGATCTGGTGTTACTGCGATACATGACTTTGCTGGCTCTTCTAAAAGCCCTCGAAGATAGTTAAATTTATCTACGTCAGATAAACCGTCATTCAAATTTACTGAACTCTCGAACGAGTCCCAAAACTCTTGCCATTTGCACACGTTCTCTTTAAATCTTTTAACTTCCAATATCGGAACTTGGCTCGAACTTTACTCGCAGTCGTTGCCGACTCATTCGACGTTGACCCAGCACTTGATTCCACAACGGAGGTAACATTATTCTCACACAATTTCTCGTCAAGCTTTTTCACAATCTTTCTAGCGTCCGCTCTCAATTTTCCTGCATCCTCGATCTCTTTCATAATATCCTCTTCGGTCAAATCCTTGTCGCTCGCAATTAGCTCAACAATTTCATCATCGAGTCTGTGTATGATTGTTACAGCGTCAACTATACCTTCCCTAAGCTGAGAAGCTTCAATTCGAAGTTCCTCGTTGAAGTTCTCTAACATCCCTGTAACTTGAGCGAGTATCTTCGTTAAATAACCACGATGACCTCCTCGTATCTTTCTCGGTTTCGCTAAATCTGCCATAATTTCACTTTATTATCAACAGTTTACTCGCTTTATCGGGCTCGAAGGACCACTTGTCGCAGAATTCGCTGGCTTCGTTTAACGAATATTTCTGCACGGCTGTTTCAACACTCACTTTTCGTTTTCCAAAGTTTATTTCAAATAAACCTTGTAAAACGAAAAGTGAGTGAATTATTTCACACAAATACTATACGTTAATTACAACAATCCGGTCTTTTACTTTACGACCTCTAACCATTCTCACTAAATTAGCGTTCGTCACAACATTTTATAACTTCGGTCCGGAACCCGTACCCAGTGATGTTTTCCAGGGGGAACGCGGGGGAACGCCGTCCCCCTACCTTTTTTTACCAGGGGAACGGCGTCCCCCCTGCCAAAATCAAACATGGGGGAACACCGTTCCCCCTGGCAGGGATTAAATATTAGCGAAGTTCAGTGAACGCCTTTCGACACCGTCCAAATATTTTTGGCTGTCACTTGTTCTACATACGTGTTATTTGCCGAAAATTCTAGCAGACTAACACAAAATACTAGTCTAGAGTCTGATAATTGACGTCCGCTTAAATAGTACTTATTGTCATCAGCACGAGTAACGTCAGGCAGCAGCCCAGCAGGATATCATTTGAATTACCTTATGCATGGAGTTAACAGAACATGATATCTGAAAAACACCTTGCTTGCGAGCGATCTAGTGCTATGTGAGTCAACCAACTCGGCAAACAGGCAAATTTGCAAGTTAAATATGACGTCTTCACGAGTAACTAAATAAGCTCGGATAATAGATATCCTTGAATCTTTCCCATTCATGCATGTTAATGTTCTTATTGAATCATTATATGTTCCCATTGATAATTTTAATGTTTAATTTCGCGATTGCGTGAAAGACTATACTAATTATGATGTAATCAGCTTCTGAAAATATCCATTGATTTTCAAGAGCGTCCCCCACTTCTAAAATTAGCAAAACATCGCTGCCCGTACCTATATATTTTCATCATGCAATACATACAATAATGTTATTAGCATACTTTGGCTTGAATTCAGCTTATCTATAACGAACTTACAATATAATTATCTTTGACATACATGCGTCACGCAACTAATTGAAATAAGAATAAGTGTTATTAGTATAATTTTGCAAGACACAGTTTCAACATATTTACAGCACAAATATATTATAATAAAATTAAAGTTATAAATCCGACAGTCGTGTTTTCAGTCAAAAGCATAGGAAAAACACCGTTCGAAAATAGAAAAATAAATATTTAGGCTGATATGTATTCAGCTTGCAGATCCCCTAGCCCCCCCCCCCCCCCAGTAAATCCATCTCTGTGTTCTTGTTAGAACATTTCGGGTTCCAAATCTTCTTGATAGTTCATATTAAACTTTAGCAGGCATGCGAGAACATGGTAGATGCATAGAAGTTGTCAGGATAACAGGTGGTGCCAATATACATTGTTGTTCATTGTTGGGGCTTTTCAGTGACAAAAATTACAAACACATAAACTTACTGTATTATTACAAAATTAGTCCTAATTAATTTTATTGAAACAGATTACTAGCAAACAAGGAAAATTTCACAAAAACTGTGACAGAGACATCAACATCAACAACAACAACAACAACAACAACAACAACAACAACAACAACAACAACAACAACAACAACAACAACAACAACAACAACAACAACAACAACAACAACAACAACAACAACAACAACAACAACAACAACAACAACAACAACAACAACAACAACAAAAGCAACAGCAACAACAACAGCAACAACAACAACAACAACAACAACAGCAGCAACAGCAACAGCAACAACAAGAACAGCAACTAACAACAGCAACAACAACAACAATAACAACAGCAACAAGAGCAACAAAAATAACAACAACAACAACAACAACAACAACAACAACAACAACAACAACAACAACAACAACAACAACAACAACAACAACAACAACAACAACAGCGATGATAACACACCAACAGTAGCATCGACAACGCTTATTGATATGAATAGCTATCCAGGAATTGCTGGAGAAGTTTATGTCTTAGTTTTAACTTTACATTTTGCAAAGTTTTGGAAGCCTTCTTATACCATAATTGATACATAACATCAACATATCTGCTGTTTATAATTTTTCTATTTCCTTTTAGAAAATGTCATAGTTAGGGTTGATGGCACACAAATCAACTGTTTATGCCTAGTAAATATATCAAATAGGTCATATATTGAAAGTCATTCATCAGCAACAAATGATGACAAGTATGGAAATTAGAAGTATAATTGATGCATATAGTTCTTGAATAGAATGATATAATTCAGCATAACAGATCCATGCAATAATATTTTGTCGTGGAAGAGAATCCACTAAACAGAATATTATGTAATTTTTGTACATTGTGTGCTATATTAAATAAGATCCCATTATGACATATGGTTGTTGTTGATTATAAGACAGTATAGTATGGGTCCTGCTTGTTGTAGTAGGGCTTTAGCTCCTTGTTCGGCAAAGTCTTTAACAACGTCACCTCCGTGAGTCTTTACAGATTCTCGGACATTTTTGCCTTGGAGTACATCTTGACCAACTTCTGTGGCTGCTTGCAATGCTCTTTTACCAACAACTTTAGCGCCTTGTTTGAACAGAGGGATAGCATATCTCGCAAGGCTCTTGAAAATACTTCCGATCCCATAACCCCATTGCATACGTACACCACGAAACCCAGCGATGTTTCCGCCACGTTGTTGTCTCAAGAAATGGTCTCTCAGTAGTTTTTCGTCTACAACAAGTGTACCTCTCGGCATGTTGATGTGTTCAGTTCGACTTCACGCAGTCAACTAATCAAATATCACTTTGGTCGCCTATTTTACGGTTAAAGGACTGCCTTTCATCCGTTCTGATATCTATAATTTCACCTCGGCGACAATGTGGACAGCTGGCGAATACATGTGTAAAATCTCCTTTGGACACTTGAAAATCACAGATCATACAGCGACAGTTTTTACAATTCGGATAAAAATCTGTCCATGTACATACGGGGCACGTACTCAAATGGGAGATGTATATATCTTTGTTACAACTGTTACAAGTTACGTCAGCATCAGATTGTGTATCCTGATGGGACCACTTGTGGGCTAACACAGAAAGGACATGTCCATTTACGATTAGACTTTTATCAATTTCCAATTCTGCAAGACCTTTTATAAAAATGCTCAATCCAGTTGGTTCGGGAATATCTGGATGATAAGGCGTCACGCAATATTTCAGAAGGTCTACAATGTCAGTGTCTCGTATATTATGTCCTCTGTAAACGATTTCTCCTTTTCCACTCCAATTCAAAATCCCCGTAAAGGTTAAAATAGAATGAAGGATTTCTTCGGCTTCGTGTTCATCATCAACGTGAAGATATTTGAGAATGTCTTCAAGTCTCCACTGTTCGGGAGATGCTCGTTTGTCACTATCCATGATTGGAATGAGGAGATGCCCTTCATGCTTATTATTTTATACTAATTCTGCAAGGCCTTCTAAAAGTGGTCCAAGTACCAATCCCAGAAAGCCGCTTCCCCGCTGAACAAGAATTTCCTTTTTCGTTCTAAAACTTCTACTTCTGTTCGCTAAATCAGCTAGATCTTGTTTGAAAGGTTTGAGTTTGTCCTTTATTTCTTTAGGATATGTGGAATTTTCTATACAATGACACAAGCATCGAATTTGCTCAGCTGATGTAGAATTAAGAAGAGCTTGCTGTTGAGTTGGATGAGAAGTACATAAGAGTTCTACAAATGGTCTGTGTTTCATATAACTGCTAGTTATCTCTGTTCGGTGGTCAGCAACGGAATGAAGATTTAGTTGCAAATAACACATATATAAGGATCGGCTCGCTCTCTATAGATTAGGTCTAGACAATAGTCTTAATAGTCTTTACTATAGTCTTTCATAGTAGGACTATAGTCTTTCATAGTCAGGACTATAGTCTTTCATAGTCAATATAGTCTTTCATAGTCTTTACTATAGTCTTTCATAGTCAGGACTATAGTCTTTCATAGTCTTTACTATAGTCTTTCATAGTCTACTATAGTCTTTCATAGTCAGGACTATAGTCTTTCATAGTCAGGACTATAGTCTTTCATAGTGGACTATAGTCTTTCATAGTCACTATAGTCTTTCATAGTTAGGACTATAGTCTTTCATAGTCAGGACTATAGTCTTTCATAGTCTTTACTATAGTCTTTCGTAGTCATGACTATAGTTTTTCATAGTTAGGACTATAGTCTTCCATAGTCAGGACTATAGTCTTTCATAGTTAGGACTATAGTCTTTCATAGTTAGGACTATAGTCTTTCATAGTCAGGACTATAGTCTTTCATAGTCAGGACTATCGTCTTTCATAGTCAGGACTATAGTCTTTCATAGTCAGGACTATAGTCTTTCATAGTTAGGACTATAGTCTTTCATAGTTAGGACTATAGTCTTTCATAGTCGGGACTATAGTCTTTCATAGTCAGGACTATAGTCTTTCATAGTCGGGACTATAGTCTTTCATAGTTAGGACTATAGTCTTTCATAGTCAGGACTATAGTCTTTCATAGTCAGGACTATAGTCTTTCATAGTCAGGACTATAGTCTTTCATAGTCAGGACTATAGTCTTTCATAGTTAGGACTATCGTCTTTCATAGTCAGGACTATCGTCTTTTATAGTCCTTACAATAGTCTTCATAGACGCGCATAGACGCGACAATAATCTTCATAGACGCGACAATAACCAACGGGATAAATACACCTCTTCACTCTTGCTTTAAATCATTTTACACTGACTCTTGAGAAGTAAACATGTCTTTCTAAATGCGACATCTGCGGTAAAACGTTTGCAAATGCGAGTAATCTCCTTCGCCACAAGAAGGTTGTCCATGCATATGGATCTCGTAATCTTGGGCAGCAAACTCTCACGGCGAATGGGGTCACAGTCATGCAGCATCCCTTTACATGCATCGTTGCAGGATGTACCCAAAGCGGCAAAACCGTATGGGTGAAATCTCTCTTGGAGAATGCTCAAACGACTATAAGTCCTACTCCTCAACGTATCATTTGGTGTTATGGTCAATGGCAACCGTCCTATTTTGATATGATGAGGATAATGCCTGGAATCGAGTTTAATGAAGGCATCCCCGACGATATCGACAATGCGGATTACTTGGACGTATCGCAACGGAATTTGATCGTATTGGATGATCTTATGGCTCAATCTGGCAAAGATAAACGTATTTCCGATCTTTTTACGAAAGGAAGTCATCATCGAAATTTGTCTGTCATCTATATTGTCCAAAATATATTTCATCAGGGCAAAGAAATGAGAAATATTAGTCTAAACGCGCATTATATCGTATTGTTCACGTCACCAAGAGATAAACAACAAATTTCTATACTTGCAAGGCAAATAAATCCCGGCAAAGTACAAGAGTTTATGAGGAGTTATGAAGATGCTACGAGCCGGCCTCACGGATATTTGATGTTGGATTTAAAGCCGACAACGAGTGACCAAGATCGACTCAAGACAAACGTACTTCCCGGCGAGATTGCAAATTATACAAAAACAGTCGTATCGACAACCACCGCTTGTAAATGCAATGTATGATGCCAAGCAGCGAATGAAAGAAATCATGGATGCACCACAGCTTAGCGCAGTGGAAAAAAGCAAATTATACTCTGATCAACTAAATCGGTTTCTCACATTCAAAAATAAGATGGATGTTCCGACTCAAGCTCCTGTTCAGACAACTCGACTAGTGCCTTCAGAGATGCCACAACCCAATGAATCTGTCGAGATAGCACCACCAGTGCCTGCTACTCCTAAACCTAATTTCCTTACACCACCACCAACAGAAGAGGAACGGCCACAACTCAAGCGCAACTTTTTCCATAATTGGGTAGACTCTACAGATTGGAGGCCCCAAGATTTGCCAATGATGATCCCTGAACAAAGAGAAGGTTACGAACAAAGATTACTTCGCGAGAGGCCGAAATATATTCCAATGAAGAATGAAGATGTTGCAAGGTTATCCCCAGAAGATAGACAAGAATATGAGAACTCTTTAAAAATAACAAAAACACCTAGACGTTACGCTCTTAGAAGTAGACCGTACTAAATTTTGTAAAACGTTTTGAAGAAATAAATTTAAAAACTGAAATATTGTGTAAATTTTTGCCGGCAAAGCCCGCTCTTTCCGCCCGCGCGATCCGCCCGCCTGATTAGTGCACAAATATGTTGTGCGTTAATATATGCATGCAGGCAAGCGTCGCGAATGACTTAGCAATAAATAACAACGTATATAACGATTACATGTTTTTATTGCAAAATATATTACCACTGTTCCAATTCTAACTTATGTTCTTGATAAGCTTACTTATGATCTGACTCGGTCATCTTAACAGTATATATGTATGTAGAATATCTGCTAAAATAACGTTGAACAACATGTAAATATTGACCTTAACAACGACGTTGACAACTCGGGATTAGAAACTGTTTAGTTTAAAATATATCTAAAATATGTTTAAAATATGACTTTTGTGACGAATAGATTCCTTATTTGCCCTTGTTCGTTTTCGTTCATCATGAGGTAGTCATGTTGTCTTTGACTAGGATGACCGACTTGACAACCATTACAGGACTCCACACAAAGTCTTTCAACTTTTGGCTGCAAAGCGCTCCTGTCTTGTCTAAATCGCTTTCTCTCTTCCCGCACGGATAACCCGCGACGCCCGCGCAATGAATATCCTAATCTACCCGTATTTATCCACACAGTAGGAAAATGCAAATCTCTGATAAAAGTTAATCCTTTAATTAGTGTCACCCTAACAACACATAGCAACCGGTGTGCTTTAATATAGCTTAAATTTATTAACCTTATCCGAGTTTTAGTACTTTAAAAAACTAGCAATAAAATATAGAAATCGCTTGACAATTATATATCATAACCTCTAATTTCCATGTGTTTATATAACTCTAAACAGCAACATATTCTCTCGTATATAGACCTCATATGGCAGACCGGAATTTAAATATTAGTTTAATGGTAGATACATAATAACTCTTACCGCATGCTATTTCTCAGCGTTTTGACGCTTGATAACATTTATATATTACTTAACAACAAAACATATAGCTGTATACCCTTAACAACAAAACATATAGCTGTATACGCCACCACACGCCACCACACGCCACCACACGCCACCACACGCCACCACACGCCACCACACGCCACCACACGCCACCACAAAATTCCGGGTCGAACGGTATCTATATTACTACTACTTATAGTCTAGTGTAGATCCTTGACCCGAACACAAAAACGGAAGCCGTCTCAAATTTCAACACTTTGATTTATGAGATATATGTCTCCCATGGATGCCTCAAAATTTTTCCCATTTATACACTAGTCGTCTATTTCCCTTACATACAATAGAATTCAAACATGATGCCCCTATACAGTAAATCTACCCAACCGAATTGGTGTCATTACAGTAAGAAACTGTTGCTTGTAGAAATAAAAGCCTACAATGAAGACTTTTCTGTCAACACCGCGCGATAAGTTCAGCAAAATTCAATTTTTATTACCTCGAACATGTCTGTCAAATGTGATATTTTGCCTAATACTTTGAATTACGCTTCTCACATGAGAACCGCATTGTGAGATATCATATATTTATATTATATTATTATTTGTTAGTTGTTACCTCGAACATGACTGTCAAACGCGTTTAAATATACTTTGCTAAATACTTTGAATTACCTTTCCAACATGAGAACCGCATTGTGAGATATCATATATTCATATTATATTTTTATTTATTACCTCCAAAATGACTGCAAAATGCGTTTTAATATATTTTGCCAAATACTTTAAATTGCGTTTCCCACATGAGAACGGCAACGTGAAATCTCATATATTCATATTATATTTTTATTTATTACGTTCAACATGTCTGTCAAATGCGTTTAAATATATATTTTGCCAAATACTTTGAATTACGTCCCACACGAGAACCGCAATGTTAGATATAACATATTTTTATACACATACCATAGTTGGCTAAAGTGTATGTAAGTATAAAATATAGCAATGTAATATCTAATATAAGCATCCTACAAAGAATGACACCCCGCGACCATCATACACCATCTGACCATCATACACCAGCATACACCATCTGACAACCATTTGACACACTTCGACCATCATACACCAGCATACACCATCTGACAACCATTTGACACACTTCGACCATCATACACCATCTGTACCATCTTCACCATCCAACAACACACCCTGTATAACCAACCCAGTCCATCATACACCATCTGAAAACCATCTGACACACTTCGACCATCATACACCATCTGTACCATCTCCACCATCTGACAACCCTTCCGTTTATAACCACCATACACCATCATACACCATATGAAAACCATCTGACACACTTCGACCATCATACACCATCTGAAAAAAAAATCAGACACACTTCGACCATCATAAACAACCGTACATCATCCTCACCATCAGACAACAGATGCCTACGTAATGGACATTACTCCAGGTACCTTGTTCTCACCGCCAGGAACCTTGTTCTCACCGCCAGAAACCTTGTCCTCACCGCCAGGACTTTGTCCTCACCGCCAGGAACTTTGTCCTCACCGCCAGGAACATTATCCTCACGGCCAGGAACCATGTGCTCACCGCCAGGAACCTTGTCCTCGTCGCCAGGTACCTTGTCCTCACCGCCAGGAACTTTGTCCTCACCGCCAGGAACATTGCCCTCACCGCCAGGGACCTTGTCCTCACTGCCAGAAACCTTGTTCTCACCACCAGGAGCCTTGTCCTCACCGCCAGGAACCTTGTCCTCACCGCCAGGAACTTTGTCCTCACCGCCAGGAACCTTGTGCTCAGGCGAGGCGGTGAGGACAAGGGTCCTGGTGGTGAGGACAAGGTTCCTGGCGGTGAGGACAAGGGACCTGGCGGTGAGGACAAGGTACCTGGCGACGAGGACAAGGTTCCTGGCGGTGAGCACATGGTACCTGGCGGTGAGGACAATGTTCCTGGCGGTGAGGACAATGTCCTGGCGGTGAGGACAAGGTTTCTGGCAGTGAGGACAAGGTCCCTGGCGGAGAGGACAAGGTACCTGGGGGTGAGGACAAGGTACCTGGCGATGAGGACAAGGTTCCTGGCGGTGAGGACATGGTTCCTGGCCGTGAGGACAATGTTCCTGGCGGTGAGGACAAAGTTCCTGGCGGTGAGGACAAGGTACCTGG